AATCAGCAATACGTAACTGAACGAAGTACAACAAGTGGGTATGTTCAAATCTCTATATTACGATTATATCTAACCTATTTAGCATTTAATATTAAGAGATATTTTTCAAAAAAATATATACATTATACATTTAATTTAATGTTTATGAAACGTTCAACTATTTGAAAAATAATGTAATTTTTAATAATAAATTAAGTATTCCACTACTATACATAATATATATTTTACAAAACATTATATTGTCATATTAGTGTCCAACTAATAACCTGACTTATTTTACCTTAAGGAGTGCTCTATTTCTAACTATAAAATTAGATATTATATGTTATTTTACAAATTATATAAGTATTTATGGGTAGTATATTATATAAAATGCTGTTGGTTGTATCTGAGTTAGCACTAATACATTAGAAAATATCTTATGATTTATATAAAAAATTAAATGCTTTAAATAACAATCAAATTTAGTTTTTATTTAAATATAATTGTTATAATAGCACACTTTTAATCATTATTGATAGATAAACAATAATAAAATTATATTATTTACTATTTATAGAATTATCAGTAATAACTAGGTTTTCATTTATGATTTAAACCTATGAAATTTTTAGCTCACATAATTCTCATAAATTAGGGGTGGATGGTAACTATATTACATTTAATTGCTATTCATCTTTTTGTAACTCAGTCTAGTGAATAATTAAAAACAGTTAAATAAATATTTAAAAAAATAGGTCTATAACATTTACACAAAGTTCCGATAAAATTCAAATAAAATTCGTTCAACTTTAATTAAATGTATTGAAGTCATTAAAAAAGTTAATAAAGTAGTTTATACAAATCGCTTCTACTGTTCATTTCAACTCATTCGTATTCATAATACCACAATACCTACCTATTTTAAATGTAATAACCTCGGTAATAAAAATGTTTGCATCCGATATTAAAATAAATAAAATTATTTCAGAATGTCAATGTTCTTTTTTCGTTTGCACAACCTTCGCCGTGAGGAGGAAATAAAAAAACGCCGAAAACGAGGCATGAGGCACAGGCATCAGCTAACACTGGCCCCCAGCCGATTGTTTGAAAAACCACCGCTAACACCATCTGATAGCCTAGACGCAGTTGCCTTGCAAATTCCCAGGTAAGATGTTATTTATTGCAGTTAATTAGGATTATTCAAAATATAAATGATATTAGTTTAAAATAACTATTTTTTGAAGTACTAAAAATGTTCGTTGTATTTAATATATATACACTATATATGTATTATATCGAAGTAATAAATTTGAAACGTTACGGTCAATAGTGTATTTAATAGTATAATATTATACAAGCATTTCGTAATGCAATTAATCATATTATGAAACATGATTTACTAAAATAAAATAAAATACATAAATGAAATCATATTTTATTTCAAGGTTAAACATTTTACAATTATTATTATTATAGACATATATATATATTCTTTTTTTTTAATTTTAATAATTACGGGTAAAAGCTCGTAATATACTATGCATCTACATATACGATAAGTACATAACAAAAAGGTAAAAAATAAATATATTATACACTAAAGAAAAATAAATTAGAAGAAGAATCAGGGATTTTTATTGGGAATTCTTATCATTCTGGAGACAGGTTTGTTTCTCGAGTTGAATATTTTAGTGTAACAATAATCATTGTAGTTGTATAAATAATTACAAGAAGGGAAAATAATTTTTTAATAATTGTATAGTATCTATAATCTAGTGAATATGTTCTATTTCAAAAATGTATAAGTTTACTTCGATTTAAATGATAGATTTTTGTATATAAAAACGATTCTATGCAAAGATGCTTATTTGATTACCTAACTAAATTGTGTTTTATGATATTTCTATTTTAAAATAATTTATTTTGCAATTAGTATTACGGTAGGTTGATTTATTTTTTGTCTAAAAAATTACTTTTATATTTAATTATAATGCTTTATTATTACATCTATTATAAATATTTAATAATTATTGTATATTATTGTTACTAAATTTTGAGTCAATATATTACTTTACCATAAAATAACGTGAATATGTTCGTGATATGCAATAGTTCAAAATAAATATAAATAATATTAAATTCTTTCATGTAGTAAGAAATAATAATGTATAAAATATTTTCAAGTTCTAAACAATAATATTTTTATATTACGATAAAATTACTAAAATTGTTATTTTCATATTTTTAATATTTTTAAATAAGTAATTAAGTAATTAAACAACAATTAAAGAGAAATTTTAAATTAAATTTTTTAACCAAAAAATTGTAATTTATATTAAAATAAAATCAAAAATTTCACAAAAAGAGTTAAAATATTTTTAAAATATTATGTAGCTAATTCTATGAATAAAAAAATACTAATTATACGCGTTTTATGAACTAAAAACTAGTTTTAACTAAAAATTTCCTTTTCCCCTATTATTTTTTTAAATTTTTTAATTTTTTTAATTATTAAAAAATTTACTAGAAATTTTCCAAATCATCAGTTAGATTATTTTTTTTTACCTAAATAGAAATTTATATCGAAAATCTAAGATTTTATTTGGTATAAAAAGTTTTGTTAGACATAAAATAAAAAAAGGTGAGCGAGTGGGTACTATATAATGGATGTGTTTAATTTGAATTCAATGATATACCTATATCATTTTATTCGAAAAACAATCCTGAGTGAAGACGATATCAGTCTATATTACTTAGTATAATTCATTTTATGTTTTTTGATATACTACTAGTGGGTAAAGTAATTTATTTTATTATCAATAATACAGTAGCTTAAAATAGTTTTTTTTTTTTCCAAAAACCTTGTATTTCAAAATACTATGTATAGATTATTTATTTTATAAAAACTCTATTAACATAATTATTGTTTTAATATATGGATGGGTTATTACAAAACATATATACTTAAAAAGTTAAATATATATTATTAAGTTATTCGTGTTAGTTTGCTAGTTTTAACTGGTTCTCGATTGCTTTTTTAAGTTTTGTAGAAGACAATAATTCTTCAATGGGGTGATTGTAGAACTTTCCGAATCATTTCTTCATGCAGAATAACAAGTATGGTATTCCAATGATTTTGTTTCTTGCTTAGTCATTTATTTTATGCCCAATTATTTTCCGGGAAACTTTTACGTGGATACTTATGCGTTTACTTTAAAGAATTTGTATTTTATTCATCTCTGTTTGAAAGTTTTGACTTACACTATTCAAACGATAAGATCAAAAGTGATTTAACTATTTATAAGTATAACTCAAGTCTTTAAGAACCATTTAATTTGAAGTGTTATTGTGATATAGATTATAAATTATACAATAGGAGATACAGGAATGTCATTATTGTTTATCATTGATTTAAATTCTTTAAAACCGTTTCACCAAAAAATAAATATTATTTAAAAAATGTATTAGGTTACGGTACATACAAATTAAATTAAATTGTATTTTTACTGTGTTTGTTTCATAATTATATGTATAAGGTATTTAGATAGATAATTTTTAAAATATTGCCAACTGTTTTTAAAAAACTTACTAAAAATTTGACTACCAAAAAACATAAAATAATAAGTAGAATTTATTCAGTTCACCTACTAAGCTTTTTTCGCTATTTTTTCAACGATTTGTATAATATTAATATTGAAATATTTATCAAAAATACCACCCTACTAATTTAGAAATCCTTTATACTTAAAAACACGTTTAATTTCATTATTTAGATCCAACCTTAAATTTTTCCAACTTATTTTCTCACTAAATGTTTCTACTTTGAACGCCGAACTAAATAATTCTCAAAATAATAATTTTTTGAAAAATATACCATATACATTTAATTTTCCCTTCTCTTGAGACATTAATATTTATATACAGGAAAATTTGAGTCTTGGTTGTCTCTCTATCAGACGTAATTTGGTTTATTTTTAATAATCTCATGAAACGTGTTCTTTGTCCTGAATTTTTAGCAATTGTAGAATAATCCAAATTTATTTTTTTTCTACTTTATAGGACAAATATCAGTTCAAATTTCTTTCTTTCCAAAACTCTTGATTAGCCAATAAAATATCCTGTTTACTTGATTATTTTAATTCTACACGTGAAAATTTCAAAAATTCTTATTTTTAATTTTTAAGCATGTATCTTGGGCATCGAACATCGTCTTGCTTATATTTATGTATTCTGTAAAGTACTACTTACAGTAGGATCATACAATAAATAAATGATCAAATAAATTATATTTTATATTTTTGTAGGTAACACATTTTCATTTTACTGATATTATTTAACAATTATTTGATAAAGAATTTAATTTCTTTTCTTTTATTTTTTTGATTTAATATATTTTATACTGAACTATAAATTATGTGGCCATCAACTGTTTTAATTTTATCTACAATACAAATTAAAACAAAAGATACAAATAATGAAATATACAAATATTATACGGTAAGAAACGTTGAGTTATAAATAAAAATTTGTTTATTCTTTTTAATTTTGTATTGTTTAATATACTTTTTATAAAAACAGTGATTTATAGCATAAAATATTATTTTTATTTTGTGTAATCCTAATAATTCAACAATATAATTGTTGAATTATTATATTTAAATAAAATTATGAACTGTAATAACAAAATATAGTCCATCTATAAGTTCTACAATTATATTTATTATTGACTCTTTTACTACTTATTATCATAACGTTATCTAATATCTACAATTGTGCACAGAATTTTGAATGTAATTCCCAATTGTTGAGACATTTTATTTAAGGCCTCTAAAAATAAACATGTTTTATGTTTGCATACCAAAAAAATAGAAAAGATCGTAAATGTAAATTCACAATTCAAGACGCTCTTGGGAAAAATATGTTGGTCTGCTTTATATAAGACATTTGAACTGTTTTTACATAATTTAACATTTTTATTTTTTTTTGACAAAATTTATGTGTTTTGGTATTGTAGTTTATTATAGTTAACACTTTTTATAACCAGTTGATGTAATGTATAAAATATTTTGAAGATATCTCAATTATACCATAATAATATACTAGTATTATATATCTACACAATAAATAAATTATTCTAGATATAAAAATATATGTAACCATCAGAAAATATTTAGTCATGCGTTTATTATAGTTTATTTAAAATGCTTTATCTTTTTCTCATACACATCTATAAATAAATTAAAAACACTTTTAATAAAGCAATTTATATACAATCCTGCATATAATAACATTAATTTATTAATAATTGAAAACTAAAAATGCATTTCTGGTTTTTTTTTTTTTTTTTAGTTGTTTAATATAAATTAAACTTTAAATTTTTATGAACAATCGTATTTATATTCACACGTTATTTGATACAAAAAATTTCTATTTGCAGAGAAAAATGTAAAAAAGTAAATCAATACATCATGAAATTAACTTGTTATTTGTACAATTGTAAATATGCGATTGCAAAACAAATATGAAATTATATTAATTCCAAACTCTTGTTTTGTAATTGGTTATTTTATAAGAAAAATAATTTACTGTGAACTAAACTGTATCTATTGTAAATCTTTAAATGTAATACTTATCAGTTATTGGTAGTTCAAGGTACTTCATATTTAATTTTCAGTCAAATAATTGTCTTAATATACCTAGTTAAAGTATGTTTTTTTTAATTTAAATTAGTATTAGATTATAATTTATAATATTTTGTATGTTACATTTGTAACTTAAATGTATGTATTTCCAATCCCCAGAGTTCACAATAGAAAAATTAATATGCTGCAAAATTAAAACGTATAAAATCACCTTTAATTAAAAAAAAAAAAAAAACAAATTTTAAAAGTATAACTTGTATTAGCAATAAGTAAATTACTATATTAAAAAAAAAAATATTAATAATAAAAAAAAAAATAGATTTTAATAAACTTTTTACACTAATAAATTTATTTATTAAAAAAATAATAAATGTTGTTTATATTTTGATTTTGAGATATTCGTACTTTATTCATCAAATTTATTATATTTTACAATTTTTAGTGTATAAAATGATTTAAAACCTGGATTAATTATTTATTTATTCATTTCAAAAATTTAAAAATTTGTTCTTACCTAATTTAG